ACCCGTCGGGACGCATTGGCAGTGAAGGATTTGACCTGTGTCCCCCTGGACCCTTTTCTCAAGCGTGCATGTGATCTCTCTCTGCACTTCTCAGGGGGAGTTGCCCTGGTAGGGATGCCGTCTGCTGGGAAGGACGGAAGACCTGGGTTTCCCCAGAGGACCGGAGGCGATTGGCAGTCCTGGAATCCGTGCGGCCGTTGGGGCGCCCGAGGCTGGAGGACCGCTGAGGACGGTAAGCTTTTTTTTGCCCAGCATGCTCATGGGTTCTTTATGGTTTCACCGGCCTGCGAGGTCCTACTTCTCCACAGGCCACCCGTGGCATGCCCAGGTGCACCGCTCCTTTTGACTTAGTGTTGCTGCTGCTTAGTGGTTCGGCCCTGGGTTCTCCAGGGCGCCGGAGGCATCTGAGGCCATTGTCTCGCCCACTGCCCCGCGTGCGTTTCCCACCATCCGGTGGCCTCAAATGTACTTGGATCGATGATGACTCCCCCGTAAAACATTCCTTGGAAAAGCTGAAGAAAATGAGTGAAAATTCACTACCATCTTTGGCAATGGAAGTAAGTTCCAGCATCTTGTGTCTACTAGTCAGTTTATGAGATGAGGTTGTCTTCCTGTGATTCGCTTCTGGTCTTCGACGCAGGTTATCTGGAATTGATAGTCTCCTGTTTTGTAGGGTACAGGATTTCTCATGTGTATGTGTAAGGCTTTTATTTCTGTTATGTGAGTGTCCACTCTTGTGGACATCACTGTTGGCCATGGAAAGATGCATTCAATTTGTTGGATGTGGCTACTCTGCTGGCGTTCCAGGGTGGGTGAATTCTCAGCATTTATGTGCATTTGCTTCATTGTCCTTCATCATGGCTGCTTGTGGCTTGTGCCTTCAGGGTATCTGTTTGTTCAGTTTGCTCTTGGGCACTTAGTGCCGATACTTTATGCCCGATATTGTAGTTGGATTTGTTTTAGCAGAGGACAGACATGACTGGCAGCCAGAGAATGTTGTATTCAGTTTCTTGGAGGTGGTTACTCTGCTGGCGGTGCAGGGTGGGTGAACTGTCAGCATTTATGTGCATTTGCTTCGTTATCCTTCATCATGGCTGCTTGTGGCCTGTGCCTTTGGGGTAGCCCTTTGTTCAATTTCCTCTTGGGCACATAGTGCTGAGCCTTCATGCCAGATGTTTTATTTGGATTTGTGTTGGCAGAGGATAGGTGGGTGCCAATGGTGATAGAGCAGAAGAGGTGGAAGCAGGTTCTGTGGCTGGTGAGGTTTCCTCATCCTTGGTGGAGGTCATTGCAGTGCTTGTGGTGATTGGGCAGGAGCAGTGGGACTCAGTCACTGGGGGATGGTCCACGGATGTTCCTTTTTGAGGATGTGTGGAGAAAGTTTTCCGCTTGCACTTGTAGGTCGACAGGTGTAATGTTTGTAATTTAATAGCCATTGCCAGTGATGGCCACTGTGGGTGAGTAGGAGAGAGAGCCACACATTCACTGACTCGGTGCCCTTATGTGTGGGTCATCAAGTGAAGCTTCTGGAGTCCACCCGAGCTTTTGTGTGCATGCTCGTGTAAAGTGCAATGTGTTCTTAGAGTTAGTCAAGTGGGAAGGTGACACCATATGCACAGGCAAAGGCACTGGGCAGGGGTCCTTTTTATCCAGTTGGTCCCTGTGTTGGACCTTGTGAGGCATTGAGTTGTCCATAGGGTCTTTGAGCCACCTTTGGCCCAGAATTTCCACCCACACATGGTAGTGGATAGTGAGGGCACATGTCAGCTTCCCGTGGTTGTTCCTTTACTATTTTCATTGGTGAGGGAAGGAAATGTGTTTCCCAGCAGAGCCCATGGATGCCTCTTTGTCTCTGAGGCTGTGTTTGTAGGCCCAAGGCCCCCCATTTCCTGGTGTTCTTCCACTCATAGAGTGAGGTTTCATATGGGATTCAGTGACTCTTCCTCTCCTTTGTGTCCTGGTGTTCCAACCCATGAGGAAGCCTGCACATTCAAGTGAGAATCTTAATTTCAATGTGCCTGTGAGGGCAGGGCATTAAGGGTCTCTGCTGGTACAAGGCCACATGGAAAGTGCCTGTTGTGCAGGAAGCTTTTGGCCACAGAGTGTCCCCAGTGATATGTCCCAATGGCAGTAGCATGTTCCTTTGGCCAAGCATAGGGCTTTGGAGAAATGGCTGATGAGATAGCAGTTTTCTGAATCATGTTTTGGCACTGGAGTGGGTGGCTCCTTCCCTGTGTCTTGTATCCCACAGGTCTCCCACTTGATGGGGCAACGCAGGTGTTGTGGCAGGTTTTGGCATTCACCAGAGTCCCGGTCAGTAGGGAAGGCTTCCACAGCCAGTTCTTTCTGAGGTAGAGGGGGTGGAATGGCTTGTTGGGCTCCCCCACAGAGCTGTGGCTGTGAGGCAGAGGTTTGTTACTCATCTCTTTCTCAGTGGAGGTCAGAGTTCTGTCATCGTGATCCTTGCAGGCACCAAAGCCTTCCTGGAGCAGCATTGCAAGTCTTGAGAGTAGGTAGTTGAGAGTCATTCAACCTGCAGGCTTCTTGGTGCAATAATACAGTCTAGGTGTCTGTTTGCCCACCACATGCATGCCTAGGTACCCAAGTGCCTGCACCCTGTAGCAGGTGAGGCCAATGAAAGGCAGTTGGAAGCTGTCCCCCAGGAGGTCAGATGTCCTTGCCTTGGGAACCTGTGTACCTGGCTGCCTTGCTCAAGCAAGTCATGTCTCCTTTGTACTTCCCAGGTGGCGTGACAGTGGAGTGAATTCCAGGTGTGCTGCTTCCAGTTCCAGGGAAGATGTTCCCATCCTAAGATCCCCGGAGATGGCAGGAGGTTCCCAGACATGTGTGGTGTGTGTTTCTCTGCGACTGCTGGATTGTGCAGGATGGCAAGTGCTCCTTTTTCAAGTCACACTGGTTTTGCTAATTTCCAGCAAGGAACTATGTGCGTGGATCGATGATGACTCCCCAAATAAGCATTCCTTGGAAAGCTGAACAAAATGAGTGAAAACTCACTACCGTCGTTCTCATCGGAACTGAGGTCCAGCACATTGCCTCTAGTGAGCACTGTAGGAGAGGGGGGCACCCCCTTCCAGTAGTTGCCACCTGGTCTACCACCCAGGGCATTCAGAATTAAAAGTTTCCTGTTTTGTAGGCAACAGAATCCCTTGCCTGTCTGTGTACGGACAGGAAATACATTGCTTGAGTGGCTGCTGTCTGGGGACATGACTGGTGGCCATTCAAAGTGGTATTCAGCTGGTAGGAGCTAGGAAGTGCGCAGGTGGGGTAGGGTGGGTGAGCTCTCAGCATGGATGTGCGTTTGCATCGTAGTCCTTGAGCATGGCTGCTCGTGGCCTGTGCCTTCGGAGTAGCCATTTGCTCGGTTTGCTGATGGGCACATAGGGCCGAATCTTTACACAAGATGTTGTAGTTGTATTTGTGTTAGTGGAGGATGGGTGGGTGCCAACAGTGACAGGGCAGAAGGGGTGGAAGTGGGTGCCAGGGCTGGGGGTTTTCCTCATCCTTGGTGGAGGTGATTGGAGTACCCATGGTGATTGGGTGGGAGCAGTGGCACTAAGTCAGTGGGACGTGGCTGCACCGATGTTCCTTCCTGAGAGAAGCATGGAGAATGTTTTCAGTTTGCACTTGTAAGTTGACAGGCATAGCATTTGCAATTTAATGGCCATGGCCAGCAAGGGCCACTATGGACAGGTAGGAGAGAGAGCCATACATTCATTGACTCAGTGCCCTTCCATGTGGGTTGTTGAGCGAAGCTTCTTAGGTCTGTCTGAGGTGTTGTTTGTGTGCCTGTGGGAAATACCATGTGTTCCTAGAGCGAGTCAAATGGGCAGGTGACACCATATGCATGGGCGAGGGCATTGGGCAGGTGTCCTTGTTATCTGTTCAGTCCCTATCTTGGACCTTGTGTGGCATCGAGTTGTCCATGGGGTCTTTGAGCCACCTTTGGCCCAGGATGGCCACCCACACATGGTAATGGACAGTGAGGGCACATGTCAGCTTCCCGTGGTTGTTCCTTTTCTATTTTCATTGGTGAGGGAAAGAAATGTGTTTCCCAGCAGAGCCCATGGATGCCTCTTTGTCTCTGAGGCTGTGTTCATAGGCCCAATGCCCCCATTTCCTGGTGTTCTTCCACTTATAGAGTGAGATTTCATGTGGGATTGAGTGACTCTTCCTCTCCTTTGTGTCCTGGTGTTCCAACCCATGAGGAAGCCTGCGAGTTCAAGTGAGAATCTTAATTCCAATGTGCCTGTGAGGGCAGAGCATCGAGTGTCTCTGCTGGTACAAGGCCACATGGAAAGTGCCTGTTGTGCAGGAAGCATTGGACCACAGAATGTCCCCACAGAAATATCCATATGGCAGTAGCGTGTTCTTTGGCTGAGTGTAGGGCTGTAGAGAAAGGGCTGATGAGATGGCAGTGTTCTGAGCAATGTTTTGGCACTGGAGTGGGTGGCTCCTTCCCTGTGTGTGATGTCCTACATGTCTCCCAATTGATGGGGCAATGCAGGTTTTGTGGCAGGTTTTGGCATTCACCAGAGTGCCAGGCAGTTGGGAAGGCTTCCATAGCCAGTGCTTTCTGAGGTAGAAGAGGTGGAATGGCTTGTTGGGCTCCCACACAGAGCTGTGGCTGTGAGGCAGAGGTTTCTGGCTCAGTTCACCCAGTGGAGGTCAGAGGCATGTCATCATGATCCATGCTGGCACCAAAGCCTTTGTGGAGCAGCATTGTAGGTCCTGGGAGCAGGGAGTGAGAGAATTATTCAACTTGCATGCTCCTGGTTGTGATGACACAGTCTAGGTGCCTCTGTGCCCACCACATGCATGCCTAGGTATCCACGTGCCCATGCCCTGTAGCAGTTGAAGCCAATAAAAGGCAGATGGAACTGTCCCCCAGGAGGTCAGATGCCCTTGCCTTGGGAACCTGTGTACCTGGCTGCCTTGCTCAAGCAAGTCATGTCTCTTTTGTACTTCCCAGATGGTGTGGCAGTGGAGTGAATGCCAGGTGTGCTGCTTCCAGTTCCAGGGAAGATGTTCCCATCCTAAGATCCCCGGAGATGGCAAGAGGTCTCTGGACATGCTGGATTGCTCAGGACGGTAAGCACTCCCTTTTCAAGTCACACTAGTTTTGCTAATTTCCAGCAAGGAACTATGTGCGTGGATCGATGATGACTCCCCAAATAAGCATTCCTTGGAAAGCTGAACAAAATGAGTGAAAACTCACTACCGTCGTTCTCATCGGAACTGAGGTCCAGCACATTGCCTCTAGTGAGCACTGTAGGAGAGGGGTCAGCTTCCAGTGGTTCCCACCTGGTTCACCACCCAGGACATCTGTTTTGTGGGCAATGGGATCCCTCAAGTGGGTGCGTGGGGCAGGAAATATGCTGCTTGAGTGGCCACTGCCTGAGGATGTGACTGGCAGCCACACAAAGGAGTGTTCAGCTGGTAGGAGCTGGGGAGCATGCAGGCGGGGTAAGGCTGGTGAGCTCTCAGGGTGGATGTGCATTTGCATCATAGTCTTTCAACATGGCTGCTCATGGCCTGTAGCAGGTGAAGCCAGTGAAAGGTAGATGGAAGCTGTCTCACAGGAGGTCATCTGCCCTTGCCTTGGGGTCCTGTGTACACTGCTGCCTTGCTCAAGCATGTCATGTCTCCTCTATACTTCCCAGGTGGTGTGGCAGTGGAGTGAATGCCAGGTGCCCTGCTTCCATTTCCAGGAAAGATCTTCCCATCCTAAGATACCTGGAGATGGCAATGGGTATCTGGACATGCACAGCATAAGGTTTTCTTGCCGCTGCTGGATCATTCTTGATGGTAAGTACTCAACCTTCTTCAAGACACACTGGTTTGGACTCTTTGGACCCCGAGGGGAGTGTAAGCCCATGAGCCTGACCCACTGAGGTTAGCCCAGCAGATCTGCATGGCAGAGGCAACCCATCCCCACTCCTTGGACCCAGAGGGGGATGCCAGCCCATGCAGCCCAACCTGCTGAGGTGAGCCCAGGAGAACTGCATTGTGCTGGGGGCTCATTCTACAACCACAGATCCTGGAACAGGACCCAAGGTGGTTTAATATAACCACCACCTACTGTCAAGCAAAGAATATTCACCACCACAGTAACAACCAGGGCCAGTCCACAGCCAACCTCAGTGTAGTAGAAGAAGGAAATCCTCTACCAAATAACCAGACGTCAGTGAAAAAGTACTTTGAACTGCAAATAAACAAGAAGAAATGACACCACTGAAAGAATACAGTAATGCTCTAATGTCAGACTCCAAGGAAAAGGGAATCGTAGAAATATCTGAAAAAGAATTCTGAGCAATGATCTTAAGAAAACTTGAAGAAATAAAGGAAGACTCAATTAGAGAACACAATGGAACAAGAGAAAATATCCAGAAAATGAAGGAGGAAATCTCCAAAGACATTGACAGCTTAAAAAAGAGTATAGCAGAACTCTAGAAATGAAAGATTCATTCAGTGAAGTAAAACAAACAAACAACAACAAAAAAAACAACTGAGAGCTTGAAGAGCAGGGTAGATAGAGCAAGGAGAAGAAAGGATTTCAGAGCTTGGAGATGGTCTTTTTGAAACAACTCAGGCAGACCAAAAAAAGTGTAAAAGAATTAAAAATAATTAGGAAAATCTAAGAGAGATAGCAGACAACCTCAAGTGCTCTTAACATCTGAATTGTGGGTATTCCAGAAGGGGAGGAGAAAGGAAAAGGTATTGAAAACCTATTCAAGGAAATAGTAACAAAAAACTTTCCAGGTGTAGGGCGAGATACAGACCTTCAGATCCAGTAAACTCAAAGGTCCCCAAACAGATTCAATCCAATAAGATCCTCCCTAAGACACATTATAGTCAAATTTTCAAAGCTCAAAGATGAAGAGAGAATTCTGCAAGCAGCAAGAGAAAATCATCAGGTCGTTTATAGGGGAACCCCCATCAGACTAACAGCAGACTTCTCAACTGAAACCCTACAGGCCAGAAAAAAGTAGAATGATATATTCAAAATACTAAAAGAAAAAATTGCCAGCCAAGAATTCTTTACCCAGCAAGGCTCTCCTTCAGAAATGAGGAAGGAAAAGTGTATTTCCCAGAAAAACAAAAGTTGTGGGAGTTCACCACCACAAGACAAGCCCTGCAAGAAATTCTCAAGGGAGTCATTCATCTGGAATCTGAATAATGGTGAACACTACCACAAATACACAAGAAAGAGCAAATCCCACTGTTAAAATAAAAATGCCAGTGAGAAAGAGAGAGAAGCTAAATCATCTCACCTTAAATTTCAAGCTAACATCGAAGAAGAGAAATAAAAGGGGAAATAATGATCAAAAGATATTTAAACCATCTAAACAAGAAGTAATTAAATGACAGGAATTAAGAAACACTTGTCAATAACTACCCTGTGAATGGACTAAACTCCCCATTCAAAAGACATGGACTGACTGATTGGATTAAACAGCTAGACCCATGTATATGCTGTCTCCAAGAGACCCACCTCACCTGTAGAGACACACATAGACTAAAAGTGAAGAGATGGAAAAAGATATACCATGCAAATGGAAACCAAAAATGAGCAGGAGTAGCTGTCCTTATGTGGGGAAAATAGGATAATTTAGTCAGGCTCCCCCAGCTCAGGTCTGGTTGGGAGTCATGCAGCACATTTCTTGTAGACAAGTTGTGTGTGGGTGAAGTTAATGCACATGTGCACCAATGTATCTTTTTAGTGTTGTTGCTATTGTGTGTTCTTGAATTTGTGAAGCAGAGCTGGCTCACAGAGAGCTTGCATCTAAGAAGAGAACCTGTTTACTCTGCTGGCAGCTGCTCAGTTTTCCATGGACTTTGCTGGTAGCAGTTGAGTTTCTGAGTTTCTCCTTTGTACTGCCTAGCTCCTAGATGTGTGTGTGCTGAATAAAGACTATTCTTCAGCCAACTCCGAAGACCTTTTCCCCAGTTACTTAGCACATAGACCTGCATGTGAAGGGTTTGTGAATGGGCTCAAGGGGTCTCTGAGCTCCAGACAAAGCCCTAGCTCTATGCCTTATATCGGACAAAATAGACTTTAAACCAAAAAAACATAAAAAGAAGACAAAGAAGGCCACTATATAATGTCAAAGGGATCTGTCCAGCTAGAAGACATAACAATCATAAACATGTATGCACCCAATACTAGAGCACCCAGATATATAAAGCAAACACTCAGACCTAAAGAAAGAAATAGGACCTAATATATTAACAGTGGGTGATCTGAACACCCCTTTCTCAGTATGGGACAGGTCTTCCAGGCAACAAGTCAACAAAGAGACACAGGATTTAATCTACACCTTAGACCAACTGGACTTGGCAGATATACACAGAACATTTCACCCAACAACTAAAGAATATACTTTCTTCTCATCAGCTCATGGAACATTCACCAGGATAAACCACATATTAGGTCACAAATCTAGTCTCAGCCAATTTTTTAAAATTGAAATCATTCCAAGTATCTTTTCAGACCACAATGGACTAAAATTGGAAATTAATAATAAGCAAAACTCTGGAAACTATACAAATACATGGAAACTAAATAATAGGCTCCTGAATGACCTATGGGTCCAAGAAGAAATTAAGCAGGAAATTTAAAAATTTCTAGAAAATAATGAAAATAAAGATACATCATACCAACACCTGTGGGATACTGCAAAAGCAGTACTAAGAGGCAAATTTACTGCAATAAATGCTTACATCAAAAGAATGGAAAGACGTCAAATAAGCGACCTAACACTATGCCTCAAAGAACTTGAAAAACAACAACAATCCAAACTTAAAGGTAGTAGATGTAAAGAAATAATTAAGATCAGAGCAGAACTAAATGAAATAGAGGCCCAAAAAACAATAGTAAAGATCAACATAACAAAAAGTTGGTTTTTTGAGAAGATAAATATAATAGACAAACCATTAGCTAGGCTAACAAAAAAAAAGAAGAAGAAGAAGAAGAAGAAGAGAGAAGACCCAAATAACAAATATCAGAAATTTTGGGAGACATTACAACTGATACCACAGAAATACAAAGAATGGTTAGAGACTATTATAAACAACTGTATGACAACAAATATGAAAAATCTGGAAGATATGGATAACTTTCTAGACACATACAAACTACCAAGACTGAGCCAAGAAGAGATACAAAACCTGAATGGACCAGTAACAAGCAATGAGATTGAAGTGGTAATTAGCAATCTTCCAACAAAGAAAAGTCTGTGGCCAGGTGGTTTTACAGCTGAATTCTATCAAACTTTTAAAGAGGAGTTAATACCAATTCTTCTCAAACTATTCCAAACAATTGAAACAAAAACTACTCTCCCAAACTCATCTATGAGGCCAATATAAGTCTGATACCAAAACCAGATAAAGACATACACAAAAAAGAAAATCACAGGCCAATATCCTTGATGAACCTAGATGCAAAAATCCTCAACAAAATATTAGCAATCAGAATACAGCAACATATTTTTTAAAATATATGGTAGGATTAAATAAGATTTATCTCAGGGATGCAAAGGCGGTTCGACATATGAAAGTCAATAAATGTGATACAGCATATTAACAAACTCAAGGACAAAGACCATATGATTATCTCAATAGATGCTGAAAAAGCATTTCACAAAATTCAGCATTGCTTTATGATAAAGACCCTCAACAAATTAGGTATAGAAGGAAAATATCTCAACATGGTAAAGGCCGTCTATGACAAGCCCACCAGCAGTCTCATCCTGAATGGGGAAAAACTGAGGGCCTTTCCCTTAAGAACGGGAACAAGACAAGGATGCCCACTCTGTCCCCAACTATTTAGCATAGCACTGGAGGTACTAGCCAAAGCAATCAGGCAAGAGAAAGAAATAAAGGGAATCCAGATTGGAAAAGACAAAGTCATGCTTTCTCTATTTGCAGATGACATGGTACTATATATAGAAAAACCTAAAGACTCTATCAAAAAACTCCCAGAGCTGGTTAATAACTTAAGTAGCATTGCAGGATACAAAATAAATGCCCCCAAATCAGTTGCATTTATATACTCAAATAATGAATTAACAGAAAGAGAAATAAAGTAAGCCCATTTACAATTGTCATGAAAAAAATAAAATACCTAGGGATCAATTTAACCAAAGAGGTAAAAGGCATCTACAATGAGAACTGTAAACCACTTCTTTAAGAAATTAAAGAAGACACAAAAAGATAGAAAGATATTCCATGCTCTCGGATTGGAAGAATTAGTGTTGTGAAAATGGCTATGCTACCTAAAGCAATCTACAGATTCAATGCAATCCCCATCAAAATACCAATGACATTCTTCACAGAAATGGAAAAAACAAACTTACTTTTCATATGGAACAGCAAAAGGCCCCAAATAGTCAAAGCAATCCTGAGCAAAAAAATAAAATAAAGCTCAGGGAACAACACTACTTCACTTCAAATTACACTACAGAGCTACTGTAACCAAAACAGCATGGTATCAATATAAAAATAGACATAAACCAGTGGAGTAGGACTGAGAACCCAGAAATCATCCCTCAGGCTTACAGCCATCTGATATTGGACAAAGGCAACAAAAATCTTCATCGGGGAAAAGACTGTCTCTTCAACAAGTGGTGCTGGGAAAACTGGATATCCATATGCAGAAGAATGAAACTAGATATGCATCTCACCATACACTAAAATCAACTCAAAATGGATTAAAGACCTAGTTATAAGACCCAAAACTATAAAATTACTAAGGGAAAAATATAGGTGAAACACTTCAGCAGTTAGGTCAGGGCACAGACTTTATG